TACAGTACATGCATATATGTATTTATACGCTTATAATTCAAAAAGAATGAGCAACAACAAAATGAGCCTACAGTCCTATGACGCATCCATTCATCAGCATTTTCACACTTTTCTGTGCAGGCACACTTTTGTTTCGAACACACTCGTGCCTTTTCAAGCACAATTCCTCACATTCTCTTTTTGACTAAACACATTCCGTTTTTTCAGATACTTATTCATTTGATTAAACCAAATCTTTCTCGGCTTTCCTCAACCACGATTCCCATCCATCTTTTTCATTTATACTTTCTTCAACTGTTAATCACCTTTTGTTCACTCAATGTGGCCAAATCAACATAGAGTCAATTTACTTACTTCTTACTGGCTTCATTTAGCATTCCTCCAACACTTCTTCATTCTCACATAGTCACTTCTTGTTATTCCACGCACTACTCTCAAATAATTCATTACCCAGTAGCGTAGCAAAGTGGGGGCGGGCTTCCCCTGCCGCCCCCACATTTTCGTTTTTGCGGTAAATCGAACGTATTTTTAGAACCATCTAAAAATTCTCTAATTAGTCTGGAAACAAGGGGACCCAATTCTTGCATTCTGTGAAATCGAACATATTTTTAGACCCATCTAAAAATTCTCTAATTAGTCTGGAAACAAGGGGACCCAATTCTTGCATTCTGTGAAAACGGGTAAGATTGACTGTAACGTAATTATCTTTATCTTAGTTATCGTTACTTTTGCCCGGGCACACCTGCTAGTTGTTAATAAAAAAGTATAAAAGTTCAAAATAAAATTCATATTTTATTGGCTCATGACGCTTGTTGGCCCAGAATTAAGACGTATTAATTCCTGTGTAGTTCTACAGAGCCTGTAGATACGGACCTACAGATTCTGATATATGAAAGGTACAAATAATGATACATGGCCAGGTAATTGATAATAAAATGCTTAAAGCACAGGTTAAAGGTGTTGGTAGCATTAGAAAACAGCTGGAGAGTAAGTACAGTAATACCCCGACTTACGCGAACCCGGAGTTACGCGATTTTCAAATCTCGTCGATTCGTCTTTTGTTTGAGCGCCACGCAACCCTTGATTACTCACTCTCCCCATACTATTGTTCAGCTTACATGTTCGGACGTGTCGCGCGGAATCCACACATAGCTACAATTTATTTCTGTGTTTGTTATATCTATGGAGACTCGAGAGACTCTACTATGTCATCCAAAAGAAGTAGAACTAATTCTTCTGCATCAAACTAGAAAAGAAAAACTTTATCTTTGGAATGTAAAGTTAACATTATTAAAGACTTCGATACAAAAATGAAAATTTGTGAATTGGCAAAAAAGTTTGATCTACCGGAATCGACGATCAGAACAATTATAAAAGTTAAAGAATAAATTCTCGAAGCCGTGAAAAATGCTCAATCTTTAAATTCAAACATCATTCGTGAACATCATAGTACTATCGCTGAGATAGAAACAATGTTAAAATTATGGCGTAATAATCGAGTAAATGTGAAAAATCGTAAAATAATATAGACCTAATTTGTTATATATATGTATTACCTAAGATTTTATTAAACATTTTCTTCTAAATTATTGTTTACTTTAGTCTCCGGCCCCAATTAAAAATTATTTGTATGTATTTATATGCGAAATTATACCCCGACTTAGGGCTGTTTCACACTATGACCGACTGGATCGACTGGCCCGACTCCAAGTCGTGTTGCCATGGCAACAGCAGTCTGCCGACCGACTAGTCGTTTCAGTCGGACAGATTTATCCGTGGCTTTATGATATTCGGCGAGCCGATTATGAAGACAACATAAAAAAAATAATTCTTGGACGGAGATTTCCAAGAAACTAAACGTTGTAGGTACGTGATTGACTAATCTAATAATCTAATAATGACGTGATATATCTAAATGCACGATCGCTTACCATGACGGCCATGTTTTCTGTTTAATTTAAAAAACTTACCATGATTGGCTAGTGTATTGATTTATAACACGCGTTCTGATTGGTACTTATGAGTCGGCCACCGACATTTAATCATACTTAGTGTGAATGCTTTTACTACTAGTCAATCCGATTATAAAATCGGTCGGGTGGGACCAGTCGGTCATAGTGTGAAAGAGCCCTTACGCGGTTACCGCTCGGTCCCACATACGTCCTGCGTCCACATTTATTTTCTTTTGACAAAAAACAAAATTCGATAAAAGACGTGGACTTATGTGTTTTGTAAACATTTAGTAGTCAAGGACATCCAGTTGTTTAATTTTCAAATACTATTTCAGTTTATAACTTCTTTTACTTTAAACGAAGGTTGACGTCATTTATGACGAAAACGATAAGAATATTAAATTAAATTCATCGTTGTACTCATCATCATCAATATTGTGCGACAAAAGCATGTGTTAATGTAATGAGACACTTTATTTAATGAGACACCGGATATTTCTAGCCATTTCGTTCGTTTCCTCACGAACCCCTCAACCTTTAGATCATCGATAAATTAATTCTGTTTTTTCCTTTCTTTCGAAAGATTATTTTTTAAACGCCTAATTACTAATTAAATAAAATTTATCACGATTTATGTCAAGTATAAAAACACAGCATCGACTTTTAAAAAAAAAAATGTAAAATTCGTGTATGGCGCCAAATGACATTTTACTAAAATTTTCTCATCGCCTTTAAGTACTAAAATTTAATGACATCAATCCCCTAATACACAAATTTCCCTGTCAACTTTTAGTAATTATTGTTAAAAAGGAACAGTAGCTATTACGCTTTAAAATAAGTGAACAAAATTGTCCCTCATATACATAGGTTATATATAGAAAACATCAATTTAATTTATTGTTTTTTTACTTCTCTATATGCGCTAGGCTCAAAAGTGAATAAATCTTGAGGGTCATTTTATTTGCCGATTCGATACTTTTCCTCTGTACAACTGCTGTAAAAATAAAAACTAATTTATTGACATAGATCAAGTAAAGTTGGTGAAATTTGTAACAGACATAATTGTAGTGCACAGGATAAATATTATAATATTGAGAATTGATTTGTTTATAAAGTAGCAATATAAATAATATATAAAGGTGACGTTCATCGAATTTTTCGTTCCTATATGTAGAGACTAACCAGCCATTTCTGTTATATATATAAACATATATAACAGATTAAAATACTAAGACAAAGGGTAAAATACTAGAAATTGGTATAACGACGAACAACGTACACTACACGCGGATTGCGTAAAAAAAAACCTGTTACAAAAATCTGATAAACTGTTATGAATATAAAATATAAAAATTTCCTTCATGAAAAACAAGAAGTTTTTATGTATCCGACTTCTTGATAAAAATATAAATTACAAACACCTGTTTTGAATTTTTTGCTTTGGAACCTGTTACATCAATTATTATGGAATTGGAAAATCTCAGACACTTTAACATTAAATAAAACTTTATTTGTGAAACTATTTCTTTATTTATTACGTTTCTGTAATTTTTTTATAATATTTATTTTTATATAATTAATATTATTTATTCATTTTCAGTAAAATATTATTTTTAACTTTTTCGGCGTTTATATAGAACAATGGAAAAGAATGAACGTGGATCAGAAAATGACCTCGTCAAGGTTTTTATATTTTCGAACAGACTTTAAGGCATCGAGAAATGAAAAAGGAAAATTTGGTGTTATTTTTTATAAATTATTGTGTGTTGGGGCGAGAGACGTTATTGTTTATCCAATTATAATTTTATAACTCTTGTCTTTTGGTCGAAAATTTGTGAAAATTTGCGTGGTGAAGAGGTCGTCGCCCGTTTCATCATAAATGTAAATCCCTGTGTCTCTCTGTAGGAATACCGAATACCATCTCCAGTCCATAAGTGATTAACTCCTTCGGTTCATCTCCGTCTCGTCCTCCGCCTAAGGATATTTTATACTCCTGTTCCCGATACACTTTTTTCGATCTGTTCCGAACTCTCGCGTATAAAATACTCTAAAAACGGTCGAACGATCATGTCGTATAAGTGGCTCGATCCAGATTCGATGTATTTATAACAACGCGACATTCCATGAAAACTTTTTCTCTGGCGAACTCTCAAATCTATGTCTAATTGTCTTGCTACCGTTAGTGTGTAGATCTGGTACGAAAAATAAACGGGTATTTGGTTGGTTAACCTAGCATGCGAGTGTTTTGCTTCCAACGCTGTCTCACTCGCCTCCATTCTCGCGCTATATGCGACCGCTTGCGTGACCAACTTTCTAACGATTTCGCTGCCGCGGCTTCCGTGTCGCGTGCGGCACGGTTTGTCGGTCGTGACCCGGTGCGGATTAGTATACATCTTGTGACCGGAGAGTCACACGATGTATACTAATTCATTAAATCAAATGCATATTTAACCGGTAATAAAGTCTTTAAATAAGAAGTGAGAAAAAAACAAAGCTTGAAATTTTTTCTGTTAATAAATCGTAGTATTTAAATTTGAATTTCCTTACCAGGCATTAGGCTGACAGTGTAACTCTCGCCATTTAAAGTAAAATTCACAAAATCTGCTTATTTAATTCCAAGATTTTACTATCTGCACAAACAATTTTTAAGAGAAAAAGAGATAGTGTAGTCTATATTTAGTGTAAAATATCTGTCTAAAAGAGCATTTACTCCAGAGAATTATTTCATTGCGCGGTGATTTATTTTTCGCAAATAACTTTTGAAATAATACCGCGTAGGAATACTTTAATTACAAATGTTTCTTTTAATATTTAAACGACGATCGAGTCACTTCAACACCGGGAATAATTATTATGAAAAATAAAGAATTCTTATATAAGTTCCAGGAAAGTAGTTGACATTGATAAGCCAGTTTTTTGTAATTTAATAATACATTTCATAAGCTTTGTCACGAACGTAAACGCGAGGCCACTTACAAGTTGCTCATCGAGACAGACAAAGCTCCGAAAATGAAATACGAAAGGTTTCTAAATTTCTTCTTACTCTTGATGATATTCCCGTGTTACGCCAAACGCAACGATACAAATCCCGAAGACGTCGATGATTTCCGACAAACGTCGATGATGTTAGAAAATGCGGAGATGCGAATCAAAACGGCTTTGAAGTCTGTCTTAAAGCGGAGTCTTCCTTATCTGATGAGAATTTTCGATGAAGTGAACGTATCTTCACCTTGCACGAAGTCTTCCGTTCTCTTCCTGAAAGACTTGATGAAACTAAAAGATTGGCCTCTTCGAAGTAAGTAATCTTTACTGTATGAAATTATTAGAAATTAAGGATTTCGATACACGTGTATTCCTCGTATAATGCGGAGGAAGGTTCCTTAAAAATCCGGTTCGAGAGTCTCAGACCGTTGTAACTTGCGAAAATTTTTTTTCATCCTCTAATGTAAAAATATGTTTAACTCAAAAATTTACTACCTCAAAACCCCCGGGCTCACATTTACTTTAATATTTACCAGATTAAAAGTAGTTCGTTTAATTGAATTAAACAAACCGAATTTAACTTTTATAATATATTACTGTATTTAAAACATTAAATATGTAAAATATTCGTTAACTACATTTCTTTAAATTGTTACCGAAAGTCGGCAGCAAATCGATGACGCCCACGTCGGGTCTAACATCACTGTGTTTTAAAAGGTGTATGCCATTTACGTTTCGTTTTAGGCGGGAGCGGTTGCGTTTGTAAGTGTGAACTTTTACCTCCCGAACATCACAATCTTAAAAGAATAACACCCGTTTATTTATTTACATTTAGATGTAGATATAGGCTACATAGGATAACGCATAGCATTTCCATTACAGCTTGTATATGGCGTTAGAAAATTGATAGGGATTTACATAGCGTAAGGTATTTAATGCATTTTCTATATGGCAGGAAAAGTAAAATCGAAATCGGACCTGAACCGTGAAAGAGAGAAACAGTTTACATTTCTGCACACGACGATAAATACCTTGACAAACTTGACTGCTGAGTCGAAATTGAAGTCGGACTATCGTAGATCACTCGATGAACGGGTGAAGAAATTCAAGTTTGTTGGGTCGGGCCAAGTAGTGTTCTTATCTGGTATAGTTCGAACGTCCGGTACAAAACAGCTAAGCTTCTGCGAACGGCGGCTGAGGAAGGGATCGGCGATGGGTACGCAAACTCGAATATCTTTTTTGAAGGATTGGATCGGCAAACTCTCGTTGTCGTCCTTGATGTTATTCTTTTATATCGAGAAACCTTCCCCTTGAATTTGATGCCCCATTTAGGCAGTGTTAAGTTTTTCGACCACTAGATGAACTTCGGTCGAAAGTTCATGGTGACACACACATTCGGAAGATGTGTCACGTTTTGAAAGGAAGAGAATCCGGAAAAAGATTGAATCACATTCTTTCATTTTTTATTAAGTGTTGGGAAAAATATTTTTTATATTAATATATAATAAGAGAAATTTAAGCGTTATTCTTTAATAAATGTATATATTTTATTCTTGTTAAATAAAATTTCTATCCAGTCCGAGCTCTCACACAATAATTAGATGTACAGTACATGTACCTTAATAATACATAACAGTTTTTAGTAAAATAAATATAGTAAAGTATAAAAAAAATCAAATCATGTTAAAATGTCTCAATGAATAACATAATAACTCACCCGAATACTTACTTCTGAATATTGCAGTAAAATCCGTGTATACCAAAATCTCACGGTTCAAGTATTTTTTTCCGATTTGGCAAGTTTACTTTTTAGACGGGTTTAAAATGGTTTAAATGCTTTTTTATGTTATGAAAAATGGTAAGAGTGTAATCTAGTTTTTTACCCTCCGGGCTGTTATAAATGAAAAGGAAAAGTACTGCGATTTGTCACAAAACGAGCCTGAATTAATATTTTCACATTTTTCGACACAAGGAACCTTGAAGCGTGAAAAGATGGACAAAGAAAAAACAGGATTTCCGTATACAAGAAATCTTCGTTAATTCGAACTCGGATAGTTCGAAGTCGCAATTATTTCGTCTTTTCGATTTCGATATGGATGTGTGTGTGTTGCAGAAATTTGTTCACTCGTTATGAAGCATAAGATTGCTGTTTCTTTTTGTTTGTATTCTTGCTTAAAAAGAATTAATCCTACGTCTTTATAAAGAGGATTATATAAGTTATTAATTAACATCATTCGTGTTAAATTTTAATGATTATAGATCTAAGGGATAGAAGATGAAAGTAGTCACGTCTCGAGAATGTGGGCCTTAATGAAGGTTTAACACGTCATTAGCATATACAATTTTTAAAAAAAATTCCTACTTATTCTCAAAATTCAGCTTTTGGCCATTTTATAATAATAATTTATATTACAGTAGAGCCTCGATTAGCCGATCCCCGATTAACCGACACCTCGGTTAACCGACCGCCCTAGTAGGCAAATTTCAAATGTCCGCTAGTGATGTGGCGCTACAATATTTGGCTATGTCTTGGCTACTTTATATTATTTTTACGTGTTTTAGCTGGCAACACTCATTCGACCATGAAAGGGAACCAGTATTTAAACGAGGCTTAATTTTCTAATTTTTAACGATAAAATAGCGACGATTATTATTTAAAAAAATTTTTGTTAGGCTTAACATCGATGAAAATGAAACGCGAAGTAGGTTAATAGCGATATACTAATATAGGGGATACCGGGGCAACTTCGGCATGCGGGGCAAGTTTGTCAAGCGCTTTTTTTTAAAAACAAATTAAAAGGAGACTTTGGTTATAAGTTAAGCAGTTGAGTTTTATTGGTGGCTTGTTTTGAGTGTAGTGTTTTTATTGTTCTCCAACAAGCGTAGTTGAATTATCAAGCAAATTTTCATTTTCGTTGAATTCCATATAATATTTTTTTTCCATTTATATTGAATTGGCAGGTTTTGTTATAATTCCATGATAACGAAAGTTACTTTTCCTGTTAGAAGGATGTAACTTCAACTTATTCACGTGGCCAGATCGTGGCTTGGCATTCTGTTCTCGGGGTTGTACTTAATGTTTCGAAATCATGACTAGCGGAGTAAGATCGGCAACATAAAGCCACATTAAAAGCAAAGGATAAAAATCAAACAGATAATAAATGAAAACATGTTTGCATTTGTTATTTATGTATATATGTCTTTGAACTTGCATTTCGTTGTAATAATATTAAATGGGTGTTGGATTTGTATTTCTTTGTTTTAATAGTGAATTCCAACTTATACATTGTTAATAACATAATTTTATATACGTGCCTATCTTGCCCCATTACTGTTGCCCCTATACCAGGGGCAACTTTAATAAAAATAATTAAAATAATTACAACTTTACAAAAAGAGAGAAGTTGCCGATCTTGCCCCTATACCCGGGGCAACTTCGTCAATTTCTCTCTTCTTGTAAAGTTGTAATTATTTTAATTATTTTTATTTCCAAACTGATTTTAACCAGTTCTATAGTAAGGTAACATTCCAATAGACAATATGCATAGCTTTTTTTTCAGTTTACAGCAGTATTTATTACACAAAATTTAAGTAAAGCTTAACATGCCGATCTTGCCTCGGTCTCCCCTACTAATTACATGGGATATAATAATATACTACACTAATAATGATTTTTTTATACTTTTCAATTATCCGACCGACCCAGTCTCCAATTGGGTCGGATAACCGAGGCTCTACTGTAAAAGTTGTTTCGATTTACAAATATCGTAACAGTTGGCTCCTCTTACAGTTTTAAAATCCGGCGGGTAAAGTTACCAACTCATATTTTTAAACCTTAATTTATAAAAAAATATCCAATTTATGAAATAATTATGTTCGGAAGTTTGATTCAGATTTTTCTCTATGACAGTTGTTTCCAATTAGTTTTTCCTGCGTACCACTTCAAGAAAGAGCTCAAACTCGCGTACCTTTTATAGCGTAAATTCATATTAATCCATACTGATATTATAAATTCGAAGATAATCTTGTTTGTCTGTCTGTTACCTTTTCACGTCTAAACCACTGATAAGGTTTTAATAAAATCTGGCACAGAAATAGCTTACATGTTGGAGATGGACATAGGCTACATTTTACTGCGAGAAAATTCGATATAATGCGGGCGAAGCTGTGGGTAGACAGCTAGTGATAAAGAGAATAAGTTTTTTTTTTTTTTACATTAACTGTGACCTTTCGGGTCGGCACCTCTTTGGTACTCTGTCAGGATTGACACCACCGTGTTTATCGGAACACGGAAACCGAGACGGCGATTACGTCACACCATCGCGCGAGCGGTCCCGTACGTGGTCAGACGGATTCGTAATGTCGAATCCAGAGACAACATTGGAAGTGACTCAGATACACTTAACAATTAACAAGGGTTTATTTAAAATAAATTGGATAAAGTGTTGTCGCGGAGAGAGAGAGAGTTCGCATACGGTTCGCGTGGTGATAAATACCTTTGGTAATAGATCTTCCGGTCGAGTCGTGTTGAATCGGAGAACTTATTGGCTTTTTCAGGATGTATCCAGGGGTGAAAAATCCAGTCAAAATGTCCCTTTTTGATTTATCCAGGTTCGATCGTGCACTAACACACACACAAAAAAGGTTATCCTATGGGCAACGATTAAATGGGTAACAATTAAATGTACGATGATTAAATGGACGACGACTTCTTTCCTCTCCGAGGACTAAAGCGGCGACTAACTCTTTTCGGCAGTCTCTGGTGATATTCACGGACGATTTCGGCCGTGCAGATGTTAATAGTTCACGAGAAAGCTTCATGTTGCTGTCGAGAAAATGTAACGGGAGACTTTCTCAGGTAGCTAAGAACAACAATTGTTGCGTAATTCGCGAAATGTTAATATTAAAGACTAGGTCTGATATAGGAATTTCTGCTATCTCACATTACCTTTAAAATACAATTCTAATAAAAATGAAAATAACATAAAATTATTTTATTTTATTTTAATATGACAAATGTGCACGATTTTCTTTGCACAAGTTTGTAAAATCTGGTTGCTTTTTGGTGAGCTTCAGTCTCGAGTCATCTTCGAGTTCAAGTTGGTGACTATGTTTAGTTTTCATATTTGTGATGGCCGAAAATCCGATCTCGCAGAGGTATGTCATGCAAAATGGTAGTAAATATTTTATTTCCGCTTTGCTGTCAAGATAAATGTCTTTTATGTCAGCCCAAAAATTACCCAGTGATTGCTTTGCAAAACAACACTTGAGTTTGTTGTTGCATGAAATGTCTATTAATTCCTCTTGGTCAGAGATGGGAAGGTGGTCGGTGGAGTTATTCGCAAAAGGGTTATTTACCCAGTTCGATTCCGGCGATATTTCTGGGAAATAACTGCGTAACTTCGCCAACAAATTTTGCAAGTGGCATTTTATGACCGATTTTACATCTTCATTTAATGACAAAGAAGTTGTTTCCAAAAAAGTTTCAGATTCAGAAACTGGTTATATTTACATTTGTCTATCAAAGATGTCCAGTGGGATATTTTTTTGATAGTTGATTCAACGTATTCCTGCATAGCGAATATGGTTATATCCTGGCCTTGAAGGCCTAAATTCAACTCGTTTAACTTTGTGAAAATATCTGATCAGTAAACTAATTTTTGCAGCTACAAAGAATCAGTCGCCATCTGTTTGTACTCATCATATTTATACTCGACCAAAAATAACTCCATTTCATATCTCGACTCAAATAATCTCGAAACAACTGTTCCTCTGGACAAGTGAAAAAGTTCTGGCGACCCCTAGGGCCATATTAAAACTATATCAGTGATTTTAAAAGTTATGTATTTAATTTTCTTTCTGTTGAGAGAAATTATTGTTGACCAAAATGAGAATTTAAAAAAGATCAACAATAACTTAAGACACGCATATGATACTTCCCTCTCATAAGAACATTGGGTTCGGAGTGCTGTTGACCTTTTTTTTTATTTAGAATGATAGTCTTTAACTCCCACTTTTCTACTTATTACTTTTTTTACGAGTCATCTCAGCACTTTTTCGGCTATCATTTTCTGGCCCCTCCCTGGAGAAACCCATCATTCAGACCTAAATGTCAATCAAAAAACCAACTGTACTGTATAATAAACAGATACAGCTTTATCGCTGAAATTGTAGTTTTCTTAATATAGTATAGGTCCTACAAACACTTGTCTTTTTCTTTTACCCGCGACTCCCCGTGTAAGGCTTCGCGACCCCCCTGGGGGTCGCGACCCACAGGTTGAAAAACACTGAGTTAGAGTGATTAGATTAGCTAGGTGTATACCATAAAATACGTTGATTTTTTCGACATTTTGATTTGTTGATTAAAGAACTAATTTCTGCAAAAATTTCTTTTTTTATTTTTTATTAACCCTCAATATCGAAATAATTGAAATTAGAAATACGGACCGGGATCGAATTATCTAACTGTAAGTCTCCACGAAAAAATGTAATTTTCTATGTTTCCATTTATTTTTTTCAAACATAATATACATAAAGATAACTTTAATTTTATGTTTTTCCTATTTCCAGTGATTGATTCTTTTGGAAAATTATCGGCAGGAATGTTAGAAATGACACAGTGGATGTCGGGAGATTATGATCAGTGTTTGGACATAGAAATTCCTCAAAATAAAAAAGAGATTACCGATAAAGGAAAGGAACAGGTTCGAGGCAAATACTGTGCCGTGACAATTGGAATGCAAGAATCACTGAAACGTATTGCAAAGTCGATTCATAAGTTGGAAAATAATTCATTGATTAAACTTGTAAAAGAGATTATTGTAAGTATTAAAGTTCAAAGAAAAATTGCGATGGATTAGTATAGTTTAGTGTAATTTGTCAGTGAAATTTATTTATACAACGAATAATTAATTTTTCAAGAAACCAATAAAGCTTGAAGACTTATTTAATATAGACGTTGCCAAAATGAAGATGGGAATACGTTTGGATGTGTGCATTCCGAGTACATGTAGTAATAATGACTTAAAAAACGTTGGGAATTGGAGTAAGTCGTTTGATATTTTGTAATTATATGAAATTCTCTTGTAAATCCGAACACGTCTTAATCAACAGTACGTTGGAACTTAATTCATTCTATTATATTTAGCCGAAAGAATACTAAATCAATCTAACAAAGCATAATAGCTTTGTAAAATTAATACAGTACTTATAAACAGTATGTATTTTAACGTCGATATAAATATGTAATTCAGTATAAAAATTTTTTAAAATTACTACTCAGTAATTTGTAAACTCTTTACCATAAATAGTTCGGATTAGCAAGAGTTAGTTGTATAATATAAAAAAGGAGATTATTTTTATGCTATTTTTTATAAGAAAATAGTAACCGTAATGCGTGGAGTGCCCATCAATGGCAGATTTTGTTAATAACTCGTAAAGAATATTTCAGATGTGTTTAAAGAAAAAAGTTCCAATTGAAATTCCTCCCTTTATAGCAAGGCATCATATTAAAAGATCGTCGTTCTTTATTTAAAATCCTTTCCTCTCTCTCAGTTAAATTTGATTTCGCAAGAATTTAAACTTTATCCTTCGGACATCCAAGAGAGGAAAGAAATGATTTGAACGGAATTTTATCTGATAAATTGAAAATAAGATAAGCGATAAATTAAACCGTTATTTTTAACAATTAATTTTTGTAATTGTTTAAATATTCAATTACGTTTTTTTATTTTATTTTCAGTATTCGGGACACCGGTAGACTTTAAAGTCGAATTTTGTAAAATCAAAGATGAACGTATTAAATATAGTAACGGACAATTGATATCGTTGTAAGTATATTTTTATTAAACTAATTATATTAAATTAGCAGGTAAGCCCGTCGTTGCTCTGGCAAAAAGTAACGATAGCGAAGGTTAAGGTCATTACGTTATAGCCAATCTTACCCGTTTTCACAAAATGCAAGAATTAGGTCCCGCTGTTTCCAAATTAATTAGAAAACTTTCAGATGGGTCTAAAAATATGTTCTATTTTTCCCAAAAACGCAAAAGATCGCATCTGCACCTATAAATCTTGCACGTCGCTTTCTCTTAACACTTCCATTGTTACTTAACACTTTAATTGTTGAAGCCCTAATCCTGTCTCTTTCCCCCGGGAAAATTTCGAAAAATCCCTTCGTAGTGTACATTTTCATGACATACCCTAACTGTGTACCAAATTTAAACTTTCAAATCCTAACCGTTTGAGCTGTGCGCTTATTATTATTATATTGGGTTTAGTGGGTTACTCGGTTCACACTGGGGCTGTGTACTATGCTGGATCAGAGTCAAGGCATAGCAACAAAAACAAAAATTAAGTAAGTGTGTCAGTGTCTGTATTCAGGAATTTTTTAACAATGTGACATGTATTCAATATAGTGGCCTCCTGTAGTGTGATGTATGTATTTATATTTAATTGTAATTTAATGTATTTAATTGTATTTCTATTTAATTGTAATTGTAATATTGTATTTCTATTTAATCTTTCTTTCTTCTTTTTCGATGGTGTTTATATGGAGATTTTAGCTCAATGTAGGCTCTTTCTCCGAGTAGAATTGTGTATGTGTATGATCGCTAGGCGACCGATTAGCCGGCTGTATCGAACAGCCATACGTACGCGCGGGAAATAAATGCCTTCCGGGAGGACTTTTATGGGGAACTGGCCTCCTATTCAGTCGTTATAGGCAAGGAGAAAACCCGGAAAACTCCAAGCAGCCAGCCTGTCCGACCGTGGCGCGATCCCACGACGAACCTCCCAGTCTTTAGGGTCTGGTCACCACTACGATGAGCGGCAACGGAGACCACTCGCCCACTGGTGGGGGGCATTTCTATTTAATTGTAATGTCCTAGGCTTTTGTGTAGTGTGTGTGGTATCACACCTGTACAGGAGAGAATGACAGGTACAATAAGCACTCTATCCATCCTCCACAGATGCCTTATTTCCTGGGCAAGTTTCGTGTACTTGCTGATTTTTTCACTGCATGTGTTCTGTACATTGTGAGTGTTTGAAATTGCTATGTCTATAATGTATGTGATTTTATTGTGTTTGTCAATGAGTGTGATGTCTGGTCAGTTGTGGTAAATTGTTTTATTTTTGATTATAGCTCTGTTGTAGTACATTTTGTGCGTGTTGTTTTCCAATACTGTTTCTGGTATATATTTGTAGTATGGTTCGTGGTTGTCTACCAATTTGTGTTTCTTTGCAAGGTCTTGGTGTATCATATTTGCTACTTGATTGTGTCTATATAAGTAATCTGCGCCAAGAGCTTGCAACCGGAAATGATGTGTTGTATAGTTTCTGGCATGATGTGACATTTTCTGTATGTGTCATTTCTGAGTGTTGTGTTTTTGAGTATGTATTTTCTGTAGTTTTTAGTATTTATGAACTGATCCTGCATGGCAATCATGAATCCTTCAGTCTCACTAAAGAGGCATCCCCGATCTAACGAGCTGTTTGACACAGTTTTGTCAACAAAATCCTGGGCCAGGTAATAAGGATGCCTGCCATGGAGTGCCTTTTGATCCCATGTTTGCTTGATAGTGTCTATGCTTTTTATATGTTGTGTCATGTCTGTATTATGTGAGTGTAAGTTTAATGGTGTGCTATTTGAGTCTACTAGAGTTAGTGCTTTATGCAATTGTTATGTTTCTTGTTTCCTGTAAAAAAACTCTATTATTATTATTATTATTATTATTATTATTATTATTGTCAACCCGTTTCGATTATATATATAAAGAAAAATTGAAAGTATGAAAATATATTTAAATTACAAAAAAAAATGGCAAATTGACGATGCAATATAAAACGTGAATAAATTATAATCTTTTCGTGAAAAACGCAATAATAAATTGACTAAAACATTTTAATTAATTAATCAATAATCTTACGACGAAAACAAGTTTAACAAAGAAAATAGTCAATCAAATTTATTTTATTCTGAGCCACATTAAATGATATTAGAGAGGTTACGGCCGTCGTATTCAGCCAAAAACGTGAACGGCAGACCGTCGAGCGCCATAATCTGGCAATTCTGGACGGTTGACAATGGCATTCGCTACGTCTAGCGTGGCAAGTAGACGATCGGCTTAAACTTGTTCATTTTTTTTTGTGTTTGGGGTTAAAATTATGACCTATTTTATTAAAATAAAATTTACTTAAACATTTACGAATAATATTGTAAATAAATAGACGATTTTAATCCAGAAATTATTTAATTATTCTATTTTCTTTCAAGTGATGAGAAGTGCGTATAGAATTTACATACATATATATATTATCTTTATAATAGTTTATCTTAAGGTAGGTTTGTTTTACCACGGCATGTTCTACTATCAACAGCGTAATACGATTGTAAGTTTCCTAAAAATTAATTTTCCGAGCAGCTTTCGGATTTACATAAGCCACTACTTCCCTAGACAAAAGTATGAAGTAGTCCTATCGTCCGATGGTACGGTAAGAGACACCACGCTAAGGCTAATTAAAAGTAATTACTTAGTGTTATTGAACATCCTATAGATACTTTAAAATAGTTTAATTTGTTTATTTACCCTTGCTGGTAACATTAGTTTTCCGCCATTTTTACAGCAAATTTCCGGTGAGTGAATGGGCGACGTTCAGTGAGTCACATGATATTGTGAACGTCCGCCACAACGATTTTTTCTTGGAGTTAAAACGTAAACTGTGTACTTCTGCTTGCCGTGTAAATGTAACGTTTAAACTTGCGCCGCAACCTCGCTATTAAAGAGAAATTGATTTTCTATTTGAATGCACACTGTTTATCTTGATTTCTGTATTTTAAAAATTCTGTTTTAAATCATAAAGTGCGAGTCAATTATGAAATCCTACCTTTCCTCATCCTTCCAAGCTTTTAATTAAGTGAGAAGTCTTCATTAAGCAAGTATTTAAGACATTTATCAATTATGCAATTTTAATATAGCTCTTGAGTTATTATGATTTTGATATGACAGAAATTATATTTATATTCTTACATTCAAACAGATGTGATTACAATAATAGTTACTTAATTGATTGTTAAATGATGCAAATTATATTTAAGTAAATTGATGTGAAAATATAAATTTCCTTAATTTAGAGTTGTTCTCGGCATGTTTATTGCATGGGTAGCATTGGCAACACTAACAGAAATATTAATGAGACTTCATATTATTCCTATCAAAGCGAGTAAAGGTAAGTTTCTAAAATTATAAAATCGAACTTTTAACATAATTAAGGATTAGAATTTATCTATTATTATTCTAAAGTTAAGGAAAATGATCTTGAATGCTCTTATTTTCGAATATATTATGAATAGTTTAAAAAACTAATTTTAAAACACTGTAAATATATTTTTATTAGTTAACTGCACTTAAAGAATAATTTATTAATGTTCGTTATTTTTAGGTAAATTTTTTGAGTATATTCTCGGAGCTTCTCCTTATAAATCTCTACATAAATTATATTCGATGAATCTCGACGAAAGTACAAAGTCGATGTGCGGTGTAAAATTTCTTCTCGTAAATATTGTGGTGTTGGGACACGTATGCCTGATAGCATTGTTTTTCCCCTCAATAGGAGGTATTGTTTCTTTTAATTTAAGATATTATTTACGGGAGATCGGAGCAACTTCGGCATGCGGGGCAAGTTTGTCAAGCGCTTTTTTTTTAAAAACAAATTAAAAAGAGACTTTGGTTATAGGTTAGGCAGTTGAGTTTTATTGGTGGCTTGTTGAGTGTAGTGTTTTTATTGTTCTCCAACAAGCGTAGTTGAATTATCAAGCAAATTTTCATTTTCGTNCTTCGCTGGGTTTTTATTTGTATGTAATATAGTTTTTTTTATATATATAAAAGACTGTTTTTCTAAGTAATCTAGAATCTAGCTGCAAAAACCCGCTTCGCTGGGCAAAAAGTAACGATAGTGAAGGTTAAGATAAGTACATTATAGCCAATCTTACCCGTTTTCACAGAATTCAAGAATTAGATACTCCGTTTCCAGAGTAATTAGAGACCTGGTCCCGATTCTATTTCTGAACGTCTCCTGTTCACGTTCAGTCAAACGAACTATTTTCAACGTTTCTGGAACGTCTACAATCGTTCTATAATCGAATTTTATGTTCGAATTAAATTCGAACATAAAATTCTATTAAGGCCTATTGTTCGAATTAAATTCGTACAAATTCGAACAAATTCGAACAAAACATTCGAAATAGAAAACCACTTTCAGCCCCATATCTCCCGCACCCTTATAGCTATCGAGACGCAACCCCATAGTGCACGAATTGAGACTTGGGGCTACTACCACATACAAACGCCATTCACGTGCGATGTGTAGTTTTGGGGGAAAAGTGAAATATAGGGACATACACGTCTATTTTTATATATGTATATAGAGATTTATAAATATTTTTTGCTACAGTGTATGCAAAAGCCACCGTAACACAATTTTAATTGTTCTATTGTTCTATAGTTGTGTTTATTTTTATTTTTATTATTGTTTTTTTTGTTTATTTTTATTGTTTTGATGATTTTTATTTTATACATGTTTGTATCTTTTGTTGTTTTTTGGACCCTTGAAAAAGGCCAATAGCCATAGAGTCATTTGGTTAAATAAATAAATGAACATTGTTCAGATAACTTTGAAATTAATGTGTTATATTCATATATTTTGTAAATTCTTATCTCACACCTTATTAATTTATTGACAATTTGCTGCGCATCATACATTTAGATGCACAACAATCACCGAAGAGATTTCTTTATCAAGTTTCAGAAATTTAAGATAATATTTTACTGAATGTTACTCATTTTAGTTACTTTCAATCACTCTGTGTAACACAGAGTGATTGAATATTAACCGTCACCATTTGTCTATATTTATTTCAATTTTCATTTTTTAAAGAATTATTCCATTAAACTCTACAAAAATGAAAACGAAATTTAATGTGAAGATTATAAAATGCTAATAAAAGCAGCTGGGAGGAGATAATATTTAAAAATTATATTTTAAATTATTTACTATTTTAATAGGCAAAACGTAAATAAGAATAGAAATAAGTTTTCTAAGCCATTATGAATGCGAATAACGAGTAAAAGTTTTAGTTTATATGCCCGTACTCGAGAGATGACCCTAGATCTCTGTATATTTTTCATGTTTTTACACTGCACGGAAGAGTTAAATTGAGAAAAATCTCACATGAAGATATCTGTATTAGGCATACAAAAATAGTTTGCACATATTTGCGGATCAATTTTATATATAAAAGTGTTGGAGGTAGAAAGAAGCAATTGACAAATTAGTCAAACAGATTCTTTTTAATCTGTCAAAAATAAGATATTAGCAATTTGTTTTCGATGAAGTTATACTAACGCTAATGCTTTATATGCTCCTTGCCGAATTACTTTGACAGGGTGGTAAAAACAATAGAATTCAATGTTCGACATCGTTGTATAGATAATACGTGACAACTCCTCAGTTGTAGTTTTAGTATGACATTGTAAGATCTGCTTTTAATTGCAGTGAAGTATTCCTTTAAAGGATTAAACTGCAATGAGTACGGTGGTAAGAATTTGTAATTTATGGACTGCTCAGTCGAGTATCACGTAACGATGTCAGAGTGATGAAATTTTAAGTTATCCGTTATTAAAAATAAGCTGGGAAATACGTTCTTCTTATCGTAATAATAATCACTTAGAAAGAACAGAAATAATTTCGAGTTGTACGAACCTTCCACGGCCTTCTGTTTCACAATTCCGGTTAAAACCAGAATAGCTACAGGACTTATATTTCTCCCAGTATTCGATACACGGGAAAATAAATACAGGAGGAATAGAAAGTATTCCATATAAAGTACAAAAGCGATGGTCGCATTTGCGCCTTCCTAATACCCATGATGTCGGTGGGTGTGCACATTTATTTCTACTTTATCTAAAGTATACAGTAATGTACAGAAATGCTGAATTTAGAATATGGGCTATTACCCTTTCGTAACACACTCTCTTATTTAGTAGTCTTGCATCTACTTTTTCCAGTCTTTTCTGGGTGACGTTTGCAATCTTCACGAATCTGTAAATCGAAATTTTGTTTTCTATATTATATGCTTACAGTTTAGACTCTTCTAATTGTCGAAAAAAATATATTTATAAAAAGCACTTTTACTTCTTTGTAACAAATGATGATGGACATAATTAGGTCTTTATTTTTATTCATTAAAAACATAATTTTAGTCTTAGTAAAACTTTTTCTATAATTACTACTGTTTGATGGGAATCTTCAGATGACAAGGACATAAAGCGCTATATTATAGTCTCACTCATTCATTGTTCTTCGAGTTGTATCATCTTTTATTTAACTTGTTTTTTTATTTTTTATTTTTATTTCTCAAGAGACACTGTGGCCAGGTTGGCCTTTTACAGGCATCTTACAGTAAATCAACAAAACAAAAAAAAAAGTAAACAAAAACGGGACGCGAGCTGAGAAAGAAAATGAATTAATTAATTAAGAACAAATATCAATAAGTCTTAAGTTTTATTCCGTTTATTTACACCTTTTGTGAAGATTTCATAACTCGATATGTTACGTAAATCGTTGCACAGACTATTCCAATAGAAGATTAATTGAAAGATCAATGCAGATCTCCCCATCTCTAGTTTGACAATTGGAAGACTATATTCACGAATTATACGAGTATCTCTTGTTGATCCGCGACATTCACCTATACCAATTCCGAGGAAGCCGTTTTCTTTTTTCCCTTTATATATTTGAAGCCCTCCAATAGAATCTGTTTCTTGTAAATTTCACTAATCTCGTCAATATTATCGGTGCGGTAGAGTTCGGATACCGATTCCATGAAGTTAAAATTATAAATTGAACGCGTGTAACGATTTTGTGCCATACGAAGTTTATTAACGGCGTATAGAGATGCGGTTCACCATACAGCGATACCGTATCTTTTTCTAGATTCGATGCGAGTGTGGTACGGCCGTTTCGAGAGTGATGTGCTTAAAAAAGCTTGAATTTTTTTATTTATCCCAGTATACTTTGCGGTGGACCCGAAATTGAACCTCGAGGAACGCGCTTATTTGGCCCGAAAGAGTTGGAGATAATCTGTCCAATTTTCACAAAGTAAATTCTGTTTGACAAGTATCATTTTAACCAGCTTAGAGGACCTCTTAGACTAACAGTTTCCAATCTTTGATTCAAAAGTTCATGATTTAAGCTATCACTACAATTCACTACATTTGGTTGCAATCTAGTTTTGAATTCCTTTCTTTCGTTATTAATGGATTTAATTCTATAGGCATTCAATAGATCTAACTGATTAAAATTATCGTCGACAAACGAAAAAATTTTATATGCTATTTCTGTTAAATTCTCATTCTGAAGTCTCAGCACGCAAACAACCTCCAAGCTCGAGTTGTTTAGATCCTGCTCCAACATGCAGAATTTTTCTTTTCAAGAATTTAATTCTGCCTTCGTACTTTTATTCTCTTCCTTTAGTTCTGTCATTGTTTCGATAGCAGTTACATAGTTTTTCTCTGAAACATTAATTCTCTCTACCATTTAGTCAAACTTATTTGTTAAGAATTCTATCGATTTCTGGATTTCTATGTTTGTTTCTTTTATGTTACTCAACTCCGACTGAATTAGTTTCGCTTCTTGTAAAATTATTTCAGAATTTTTGGTAGTTATACTTAAAGGCGACGTTGGAGTGAAAGTTAGATTATCTGGTGTTCTATCCACGTTCTTATTATAATTATGTGAAGTCATAATAATCCGCTCACACTCACCCAGTTCTCTGTAGTCTTCCAGTTCCCGTGTCCAATTTGCGTTGTTTTTAATGGTTTTCACTAATCTGCAATCTTCACATTTCCAAGTTTTTTTGTAAGACTCGCTGAACTTCTGAAAGTTTGCTGCCTGGATCCCAAAGCAATAGAAGTGAGCAAATTTAGAGCAATTGGAACACGTTAATAAGTCACTTTCCGAAACTTTGTGCTTGCAAAAAGAACAAGCGCTCAAACGACGATTTGCCATAGCTCCACGCCTCCCACTCTCGCACGCAACTTGGCAACTAAAAATATTAAATATCTCGAATCTTCTGTTACACGAAACTTTATACATTTCGCAGTAAAAAATAGAATAATTGTTCGCTGGAGAGACATAATAATTAGGCGAAATCATTCTATGAAATTGTGGATATCGTTTTTTCTAATACTGCAGAATGGGTTGACGGTTAAATCCTTCTTATCATACTTGCAATTTATTCGATGATATTCGTTACGATTTTTTTTGTCATTCGTTCAGTTTGTCAGTTGCTATTTTTTTCCTCCAAATCTTCTGTGAAATCAAACACTTTGCAAATACTTGCAAAGTGTTTCCGTGTTGGTAATACACATATGTCAAATTCTGAAATCTGGTTTATTTATTCTGGTTTAGTCTTCGTTTATTTTTCGTAAGTTTTGTATTTTTTCTTGACTACTTGAATGTATTAGTATACATATATAGTATACATATTTATTTCATAAGCAACATGTAAAGACAGTTTTATCAAGTAAACAATAAATAGCGCCGTAGCGGTTCTATAGTTTGAAACAAAAGAAAATCAGTAATTCTAAAAAATTACACATTTTGAGAGAGAGTTATTTCTATCAAATTGCAAAATCCGCAAGAGTGATGCCGCGAGTACAGCTAGTTAATATACAGTAAAACCTGTATATGGCGACCACCCACGGTTCCTTCAAAAAGTGGTCTTTTAGACAGGTGGTCGTCGAATACAGGTGGTCCTGTAATAACGTATTTCCGTACTTAATTTGCGCACTTTTTAGCCATTTCTACTAAGCAAAACTCGAGGTGAGCAAAAATAAATGAATTTTTTTAACGATAGGGCTATATTGGTATTGTATTTTATTTTTATCGGATAACCCGATATACGGGAGTCGTCATGATATTATAAGACAGATTTAACACCAACATTTAAAGATTAATACAATACTCGCATTTTCTCGATTATAATGCACACTTTCTTTTTTCCGACTTAATTAATTCGACTCGGTTGTTTTCGTTCGCTCGTCAGTTACGTGTATTACGTCATCGATATACAAGCGCGTCCTATCTCTCCATCACTTTGCTTTTGGTTTTCGTTAGTTTAATCTTATTTTAACTTTAAAAATACTGTATTTTTAAATATTTCATATTTTCTTAATTAATTAAGTACAATAAGAAAAATTATTAATTAATAATAAAATGATTTTATTATTTTTTTCTCGATACGATTTCATTGCAATCGCGGAATGGAAAAAGAAAGTAAAACTGATTTTTGCTTTAATGCATTTATTGTTTTTTGAATATTTTTCCTGCGAAAATTACTTGGATATTTATTTTTCTAAAATTATCATGGAAATAAGGTAGGTTGATACAGAAACTATTTATTGCACGTGTACTGTATATGAGCTTAAAAAATAAATAAATAAAAATAGATTTTATCAAACGATGAGATCAGCCGATTAATTGTATCGTGTACAATATTTTAAACCTCAAGGAAAATATTGTAGGTCTACGGTAAAATCAATTTCGTTTTCCCACAGTTAAACTTGGCGACTAATTGCTGTTGTGATAACTTTAATACGATCTTCTAACGACAGCACTTTGCATTTCGGACATTTTTCAACAAACTGAAATGAATTTCCTTTGTTACTAGACTAATTTATTAACACCTGCACCTTATTTCGACGGTGGGAAAAACGTTGTTGAGATGGGTTCTTACAATAGTTTAGACTAGATACATTCGCCAAAGGGGTCGCTTGTTACAGGTGTTGTATGTTGTTTCGGTCCAAAAATCGATGCTCGCGGTCGCGTTACACAGGTGGTCGTTTAATACAGGTAACTTATACGAAGACTCTATGGATAAACTATTCCGTGCCAGAAATTTTTGCCCGTTTTGACAGGTGCCCGTCGAATGCGGGTGGTCGCCTAAGCAGTTTTCACTGCTCACACTCATCCAGTTCTCTGTAGTCTTCCAGTTCCCGTGTCCAATTTGCGTTGTTTTTAATGGTTTTCACTAATCTGCAATCTTCACATTTCCAAGTTTTTTTGTAAGACTCGCTGAACTTCTGAAAGTTTGCTGCCTGGATCCCAAAGCAATAGAAGTGAGCAAATNCCCGCGGTCGCGTTACACAGGTGGTCGTTTAATACAGGTAACTTATACAAATACTCTATGGATAAACTATTCCGTGCCAGAAATTTTTGCCCGTTTTGACAGGTGCCCGTCGAATGCGGGTGGTCGCCTAAGCAGTTTTCACTGTATATTATATTCCAATTAATAAAATTGATATTTCATACAAAACGTTATTTATATTTATCCATTATTAAAAGAATAACAATAATTATATTTTACAGATAAATATTCCAATATCTTCAAACATGTGGATCTTCTTTTATTCGAAGTTATTCTTCAAGGCGTCACTATGATAGAATCATTTTTCTTCTACAGGTGAGATCATTAGAATTTTAACGTTACATATAAATTTAATTTTCGAAGAACATTTACATTTCTATCATAATAATAATAGTAACACATAGATTTTTGGCTAAAATACTTTTGTCTTTAAAATTAATAATGAATAACATTTTTTGGCCAGCGGGTTTATGGTAATGTATCTGAGACAAAAGTCTGGACGAAACTCAGCGAAATACTACATCATGTTTTTAGTCAAGCGAGTTATCAGGTAAAATATTTAACTCTTACTGTCACTGCTTCGTGTATTATATTTTGTTCGTGTTGCAGATATACACTTCCGATATTCTTCGTTTTGGGCTTCGTAATTCTTCTGCCTCTTCTTGGAGAAGGTCCTCATTGGGATTATGTTATTAGTCAGGGAAAACACATAGAAAACAAATGGTGGAAATATATCACTCATATTCATATTTACTCGCTCGCTGGATCGACGGTAAATGTATAAAAGTTAAAGTTTAATTTGTGATTTAAGTCTTAGATATTATGAATGATTATGTCAAAATTTGCATTCACTCAAGCAGTTTTGAACAAACCATTCTATTAGATATATGCTATTTATCGTTAAGCTACAAATGTTTTTAATGTATAACATCTTAGGAAATTTGATGGGTCTGTGAACTTTTCTTCACTATAAACTGTTTTATATAACTATGTTTTGTTTAGGACGTTTTCCATTTGACTATCCTAATGTCAATTGTTTGTTAAAAGAAATGGAACTGACTATAAATTTTACAATTTTAATCAGTGGAAAAATATAGTAGACCTGTAAATGTGGTTTTCTGGTGATACGAAATATGTCCAAAATTCCATTACAATTCGTTTCCTTTAAAGTTAACTATTAAATTTTATTCTTGCAAGTTTCTTTTTAAACAGAAACACCTCTGACAACATCATTTTAATAAATTAAATATTATTATAATTTTTCGGTAAACAATTGTAGTACAGATCAACACCAGGGTATCTCTAGTGGAAATTGCTGTTGCTCTTGCAATTCCTGTGTCTTAGTTACATGTTAATAAAATATGCACTGTTCACGCGTCATAGAAAACAGATAGAATGTAATATTATGTAAAAAGAAAGAAGTATTATTGAACCATCAAGACCGATGGTTTGTTTAATGGTTAGATAAGGATTTTTTTTGGAGCAATTCTCTCGTGATTGCTTTAATCAACGGATTTATTGGTTTATTAATAATTATATTAAACTGTAATGTGCAGAAAAAGAAATTACATGTAAAATCTATTTTTGTCTCATTATTTTTTTATAAGTAGAATGAAAAACGATTAAATGGGAAATCTTATTAACGGAAAATTTAACAACAATAAAAAAATTTTTTGGTGATAGTAATAAGAAAAAATGGTTTTAATAAATAGGGTTTATTGTATAAAGATAGCTGAACATATATTTTTTTTTTATTTCTTAAAGTCTATTAATGCACTTTTGGATATTACTTGTATTTGTGTGCATGATACATTCATAGATAAATCGAATAAAGTATTAGTAGTTTTATTAGTTTTTAATTCGTCTACTTTATAAACAATTTTTAGGAGTTTTTCAACGTAATATGGTTCATCAGTGCGTTGCTGCAACTTTCCATCTTAATGTCACTGTTATTATATATTGTTGACAGGTAAGAATTTGACAATTTATTTTTTATAAATAGATAAAAATATATTTATATTTTTGTAATATGATCTTCTGATGTAATGCTAAATCGATTAGATAAGCTTTAGTAAAGTGTTTCAACTATTTGGGAGTGTTTAATCCATATGGGGTGATTTCTATTGGTCTGTAACGAAAGGTTATATATGTCCGTGATAACAAAGTCCCCTAGGTTCCTGAATTTCATCTGTACAGACTTACAAAATGTATTAATTTACCGAAAATTTTTAAAGTATAACAAGTCCTAATAATAGAAAAGTGTTAGCCGACGTTGTACGTTTTAATTGTATTTGTTTACTATTTACAAACACGACGAACCGAAAATTATTAAAATAATAAAAATAACAGCCGTGAAAATGTGAGGCGGTGTCCACGAACACCTAATTTAATTTTGACAATATTACAGTCAATGACGTGCCATCTATGGAGCTGTGGAAGCACCGCTTACCTTGTATTTTCTAAAATATACATACATTTCTTGCTACATGAGCTCTGGAGAAACGTTTTAGCTGATTGATGCTACACACAAAAATATCGTATAACACTTCCAATAATTGTATTCCTTAGCCACTGGTAAAGAGATATTTGAATAAATGGATTGTTATAAGATTTAAAAATAAAACATATTCAATGTGATATTTATGTACGTTTCTTCACAAACCTATATTAAATTTTAATTTAATTAATTATAATCATATTGACAAATTTTCAGACAAAGTCTATAAGACTTTTATCACGTTTAAATTTTAAATAATATGAAAAACAATTTTTTTCAGTGAGTTTTATTTCAAGTAAACTTTATGGAGAATTTTTTAAAATATTTAAATTACGTCATGAATTGCATTATTTATAATCGTGTCCGCATTATATCGGCGAGTCACTCTTAGACATGTAAATATTATAATTATTTAATGATGATCTAAACAAAAATGTACTAAAAGAATTATATGATTTAATAGAGAGGTTGTGGCCGACGTTTTCAAAGCGAAACGAGTACGTCAAACATTTATCGCCAGCTTTCTGTACGCCTAAAGGTTTGACAATGGCGTAAGTGTAATGTTCCAAAAAAGGACTAATAATAATCCCTGCTACAGCAGCAATAAATTTTAAAAGCACCACTTTTTCTCAGTATTACTTGCGCTATTGTCGTTTTGTCATCTACTCTAAGTAACTAGTAAGCATGAACTAGGTAAAATTTGAAAAGCATGCAGCCTTGAAAATAACTTTTAAACTGACGCTTATAATCAGTATGGGATAAGAAACTAATCTCACGTCTTTATTCGGAGTATTTTTGTAATGGCCAGAGATCACAGCTGTTTTTTTCCTGTTTAAAATTGGCACGTTAAAAGATCCCACTCCGAATCATCTATGTCACTGGTTCCCAATTAGTTTTTCCTGCGTACCACTTCAAGATAGAGTTCAAACTCGCGTACCTTTTATAGCGTAAATTCATATTAATACATACTAATATTATAAATTCGAAGGTAATTCTGTCTGCCTGTCTATCTGTTACTTTTTCACGTCTTAACCGCTGAACAGGTTTTAATAAAAATTAGCACAGAGATAGCTTACATGTAGATGAACACAGGCTACATTTACTGCGAGAAAATATCTTACTCGCACGAGAAAATTCGATATAATGCGGGCGATGCTGTGGGTAGACAGCTAGTGATGAACAAAATAAGTTTTTTTTTTTTATATTTATTACCTTTAAAATACAATTCTAATAATAATGAAAATAACATAAGGTTATTTAATTTTAATGTGACAAATGTGCACGATTTTCTTTGCACAACTTTGTAAAATCTGGTTGCTTTTTGGTCAGCTTCAGTCTAAGTCATCTTCGAGTTGAAGTCGGTGACGATGTTTAGTTTTCATGTGGCCGAAAATCCGCTCTCGCAGAGGTATGTTGTGCAAAATGATAGTAAATATTTTATCGTAGCTTCGCTGCAATATAACAATTTTTGTTTCTTGCGTAAGAATTTCATTTAGGTATTGTCACAAATGCATTTTTTTTGATGAAATTTCGAGAATATTTTTAGTTATAAATGAATTTGTGCATTCGACATCGTGTTGTAAATTGCCGAATTTTTGATGGTCCACTTATTATTTTTTGACTGCTTCATCTTATGCATTTAAATTTTAAATTGACAGATTTTAGATTGCCGCGCGTACCCCTTCATGCAATTTCGCGTACCCCTGGGGGTACGCGTACCACTAATTGGGAACCATTGATCTATGTGGTTCGGAAAAATTTTTGAACGTTTCATCTCTATAACTCGTCAAGAAGCTTCTGGCAAATATCCGAAGGAACATGTTCAGGAACAAATGATGCTGGTGAATAATTGAAAGAATATTGGTATCCGTTAAGTATACCTAACTCTGCCTTTTAAACATAAAAATGTCTTCTTTTAAATCTTAACGTCCTTTTCACATTTCGGTAACTGTCTTTACGGCGGAATCGACTTTCCTTTTTAAGACGTATGAAATTATTTCATAATGGTCTGAAATGGATTCTCTTTGATGTGGTAGAGTTTAGAGAGTGTAATCCCCAAAGTGGCTTAAATTTTTGGGTTTTCGGTTATGAATTCGCGTATAGGTTTTGGTAATACTTAAAATATAAAATTTATCGAATTCGAGTTGCAAAATTTGGCAGCTTCCAAACACTACCAAACTGTCGGTCATATATCGCTGATAAATTACGCTCGGATATTAAACACATTATTAATCTCCTTTAAGTTTTACGTGTGAGATAAGCAGGGAGTCAGCGGTTAATCTCGTCTTGACCACTTTGTCTACACGGGCTAGTAAAGTTTGATCTCGGAGTCGTTCGGATGGCAAGGAGGGCAAAACGAGTGGGATGTGCGTCGGTAAGTCGACAGGTTTCCTAGAATAGACAAAGGACAGGTTTAACAAATAACAGAATAAAGGTTCATTATATAACTAAAGCTAATTTACAGTAGTATACATAAGGAAGTTTCTGATTTAGTGTTTACATGCGGATAACACATAAATCTATCTATAACGGCGATCAAACTAGTCACTATGCCGCGTGAGAGAGTTTACAAAGGTTACTGCACTCAGATATATCTTAATATGCTGTCGGATGACGGTATGCGACGATCATTCCTGACTGTAGAAGCTAGAAGAGTCTTATGTCTTCAACCGGCTTCTCCTCGGACAGGACCGAGACGGCAGACACTGTACTCGGACCTTCATAAGACGACCGCTCTGAGCTTTCTTTCTTTCTCTTCATCTTCGTAGTTGATATGGAGATTATAGCTCAATATTGGCTCTCTCTCCGATTGACGTTTTTTATTGATCGCAATGCGACCGATGAGCCAGCCGTATCCGAACGGCCTAATCGCGCGAGCGGGGAAAGAATGCCTTCCGGGAGGACATTTATGGGGAACTGGCCTCCTATTCAGTCGTTATTGGCAAGGAGAAAACCCGGAAAACTCCAAGCAGCCAGCCTGTCCGATCGCGGCGCGAACCCACGATCGAACTTCCCAGTGTTTAGGGTCTGGTCACCACCGCTATGAGCGGCAACGGAGACCACTCGCCCACTGGTGGGGGGCGACCGCTCTGAGCTTCCCGTAACGATCGTCGTTGGCACTGAGCCAATTGGTCGTTCACTCGTTATGCTGACTAATTAGCAGACGCGCGATGACTTGCCTTTCTTCCTTCCTATCTTGTCGATGTGTAAGAGTCGACATCCGATATATTTCCGTGGGAACTTGCAATAATTTTTTTTTTCATCCTCCAATGTTAAAAATGTTAAACACAAAAATTTACGCCCTCAAATACCTAGGGCTCACATGCGACTTCAGAATGGACACATATTGAGCAGTATCGTTTGCAGCATTACCGCCTCTGTATTGCATGAATGTCTGGTTCATATAGAATGTTTGTTGCTTTCAGTGCCAAGAGCGCAGTAGTGACACGAATTTTCTAAAGAATTGTTTTAGCTTGTTACTAAATCTCATACCAAAGTAGATTTGGTTTAGCAATGACAAATGTTTAGGGATTTGGAAAACCCTAAACATTTGTCAAGATGACATTAAATAATAATACTTTATTTTTTCAATATTTATAAAAATCATAAATACATTCGATATGGCATAAGTCGAAACTCGAATGGCAAGTGGAAATATGTCAAGTTTTGCTTATGACGACTAAAACGAAGTTGAAAAACCACAAAACTACAATTAGAAAAATAAAGTGCTTTATACAGTAAACGCAATGTATCTCTCATGACAATCCATCACTGGTACTTAAATTCGTTTTTCTTCCAAATTCTTCAGCGACTTCCATCGCTTTCTGTTTCAGTATCGGCCCAAAACACGAAGATTCGATGATCGAACTTGCTTTAGCCAACGTACTACAAGGGCATTTTCGATAAATTTTGTACGGCTACTTTCTCTGGCGTTTTCGAAACAGCCGCGACCAAGAACTAAGAATAATAATATGACGATTTTAGTCTCTGTAATCCAAAAATATTCTTGGTAGACAAATCTCACAGCAATCTTATTGGCAAATTAAATTTATTTTGTAAAGACTACATCAAAAATTTTACAAAATAAATTTAATTTGCCAATAAGATTGCTGTGAGATTTGTCTACCAAGAATATTTTTGGATTACAGAGACTAAAATCGTCATATCAACTAATATACAGCAAACCATTTATATATATTTTGAAGAACTAAGATGTTTTTTAATTGCTTCTTTTTTCTTTATATTTCCCACCAATGTTGTTCTTGGAAGGTTTTGCTGTTTTGCAATTTCGGCTTGTTTTATCACATTGAAATTCAGACACAAGTTCGTATTTTTTCTGCAGAGTAATCATTGTTAGCTTTCCCATACATATTTATAACAGAAATGTGAAACACGCGCTACGAAAAGCGTATGAACGACGATGTCGAGTAAAGCATAGTTTTTTAACATTAATTCCTATGAAAGTCAGCCGGGACCATACAAAACTGACTACAGTAGAGCGTCGTTTATCCGAAAGCTGGTTATCCGAAACGTCCGTTATTTGAAAGCATTCCAGTCGGCAAATTAAAATGTTCGCTAGTGCTGTGGCGCTGCAATCTTCGGCTATTTCTCGGGCTACTGAAATATTTTACGTTTTTGATACTAAATTAACTTCTGAAGTATAATTTTTTATTGTTTTTATATTTTTCAATAAATTTATTTTGTTTGTACAAAATAAAATAATAATTTTTAACGATACAATAGTCTTTGTTAGGCTTAACATCGACGAAAATTCAACGCAAAGCTACACGCAACGGAAAGAAATTTCAACATTGGATAAATTAATATATTTTTTAGTACATGATTCGTTATTTGAAAAATAAGTTATTCGAACCACCCCAGTCCCTAATTTATTCGGATGAACGACGCTCTACTGTACTTAACCGACGGTGTCTGGTTATACCTATGACGCCTTATGCGGACTCGACTGTATTATTATTTAACGAATGCTTGATAATTTGAATTTTTTTGCTATGTATTAAATATTATTTTGCAGATGGCCCAGATTTGGAAGACTCGTCATAACTGTATTAATGTTAACAGGAATTATCATGTATATAGTTGATGTAGTTTCGAACAGATATTACGTGATGTTTGGAATACCTGCAGCTTCTGAGTATAAACTTTTAACTTTTTTATTTTTTGATCATGGATGGTTATTACTAAAAGAAACTAATTTATATTTTCGTTTATTATTGTAGGAAAACTTATAAATATGTTGCTTATAACTATCTTAAACCATATTATTCTCATCTTGGTACTTATTGTTTTGGTGCTTTGATTGGAGATATATTAAGAAAGAAGAAAAAGGTCACATTTGGAAAGGTATACTAATATATATATATATACGTATATACACGAGTAATTATTTATTTTGACATGGGTATAACTCCGGCTGTAATTTTAGTCACATTTTAAATGTTTTTAATGCATTTAATTTAAAGAATGTAATATTCAACAAATCATGTAATACTTCAGTTTAGTAGTGGTTGACCCTCGTACATCGTACATTCCCTTTAATAATAGATTTTTGCTCGTCATCTTTCTCACTGTTTTGGAGAAAAAAGTTATGAACTGAAATAACATGACATCCGGTTTATATCGGAAGTAATCATATAGTTAATCGCAGCCAATAACTAAACCTTCTCGAAGTCGAAGATTAATGGAAAAAATCTCGACTTTGAATTAAATATTTTTATGTTAACGATTTTAGTATATAAAATTTTCTGAAATTATTTCGATTCTGTAAATTTTCAGTTATCGAGCCTGTTTTTAAGAATATGCTGACAGGACGATTAATCTTTAATTATGGATGACACTGTAGCCGTCCTTGTTTTTGGAGTGTCAAAAAATACGAAAAAAAGAAAGAAAAAAACAAAAGAAAATAACAATGGAACAAATTATTAAATTGTATTCATTTATGTCGGTGTTGATTGTTTTATGACGGGCACCCTACTTTCTGCATTCGGTAACATCTATAATAATATTATAAAGAGGTAATGTTTGTAAGTAAGTTTGTATCTACTAAACTTCTTATCCGATTTCAAAAATTCTTTCACCAATATTTAGAATGGAACTTCGGGGTGGACATAGGCTGTATATTATTCCGTTAAACATTCATATAAATTAAAATATATAATCGAGGTTAAGGCTTTTATGTCCAACAGATGGCGCTAAGAGTATGACACCCTAAGTTTGCTTTTCTGTGAGGCATTATGCTTTTCTGTGAGGATAAACTAAAGCAGATCATCTTCTATCTATCTATATAGATAAAAATGTAATGTTTGTTTGTTCCTACCGATTCCTTTGAAATTTTCACACAACGCTGCATTCGAATGCGCAAGTGTTTTTATATAATATACATGCTGCAATTTTCCACACTGGGGGAGATGGACAGGATTAAGGCTTATCGTAAAGAACTCTGCTCCTATTATACTATTTTAGATGCGGTTTTTTTTTCGTTTTTGATTGCGTTTTAATAGGGTACGTCAGGAGAATGTACACTAAGAAGGGTTTTTTCGAAAAATTACCCCCCCCGGGAAAGTGTTATACATTTATAATAGATACATTTTGAGCCACAACAACGCGTGGTGGGGGTCTGCTAGTAGTTTATAAATAAAAGAATGAGGACAAGAGGCGCTAAGGGTACTATTGTTTTCAACGGTGAGCTATAGTGTTTATTTATCTCATTCTTGTACGGCGATTTTGTTCAACTCTTTCAAGTTATTAATTCACGTGCTTTTTGTTGAATTTTTCTGAAATTTGGCAAGGTCGTTGCTTTATTATGGAAATTAATGGTATTAAATTTTTGTGATCAAAAGTCGAGCGGGAATAAAGGGAGTAAAGGAAGTCGTTTGTATCTCGCGCTGGGTCGAACCTTACGAAGATTTTACTTGTTATTAGAATTTACAATTTTTTTATAAAACCCATCCCACTTATTAAAATTAAACGTTCTGCCATTTTAAAATACAGTTGTTAAAAATATTAAAAGTTTAATAAAATATCATAACAGATGACACCACCCAATGTTGCCGGGAAAGTTTAGCAACTCGTTGCTGTTACTTAAAATTTGATTTTGCAATTTTAAAATCTTCATTTAAGTATTCATCGAAGACGAAAAAATTGATCTTCTGGAAACGTTACAAAAAAATGAATAATATTCGTAGTTTCTTACGATTGGGAATTTTTATATCTGTATGATTACTATATTTAAAATTTTTAATAAAAAAGTTATAATTAATTCTTATATTTAAATTAATATTTAATATTATTAATAAATGTTAACATCAAAAGTATTATATTAAATGGAATAAATACTGCGTTTACTGAAGTAAGTATTTTCAAATTCCTTCAAAAGAATAAAAGATAATTAGAAAAAACTTCAAAATGTTTCAAAACTCGTTTAACACGAAAACACTATGTAATATGCAATATCTAATATATAATCGAGACGAGTTGATAATGATAATGATGATAATAATAATAAGCGCAGAGCCCGAACGGTTAGGAGTTGAAAATTGAAATTTGGTACACAGTTATGTACACGAGAACGCACACTGAGAAGGGATTTTTCGAAATTCCCCTGCGGGGGAGAAAAACAGGATTAAGATTTAACACTTCCATCAGCAATGGAAGTGTTAGGTAACAATGAAAGTTTTAAATAACAATAGAATTTTTAAGTAACAATGGAATTGTTAAGAGAAAGAGACGTGCAAGACGCAGATACAGATTTTTTCGTTTTTGCGAGAAATCGAACATATTTTTAGACACATCTAAAAATTCTCTAATTAGTCTGGAAACAAGGGGACCCAATTCTTGCATTCTGTGAAATCGAACATATTTTTAGACCCATCTAAAAATTCTCTAATTAGTCTGGAAACAAGGGGACCCAATTCTTGCATTCTGTGAAAACAGGTAAGGTTGACTGTAACGTAATAATCTTAATTTTAGTTATCGTTACTTTTGCCCAAGCAACGCCGGGCCTACCTGCTAGTATACACATAATTAAATAATTAATTTTACAATTACTTTAACAATGAAAAAATTTTGTTCATAATAGCAACATTCAATATACTGTACTGTACTGTACCTGTGTATTTGCGAGGATTTTGATGTAAACAATAATATATATTTGATTTGTAAAATAATTTTTAACCTGTGTAGTCTCTTTTTCCTTTAAAACTTTTGTAATGCGATCGTGTATAAAAATACTGTAATAATTTTCCCGCATTCGTGCAATGTTATATTGTTTTATTCATCCTGCAACGTCCCAAATTTGGCGAATGCTTTCGGTCACGGAAACACAGTGAACTAAGTGACTAATTATTAAGAAGGGTATTACTGGATGCATTCAATTTCTCGAGATAGGGGCGACTGATAACGCCAGATTGCAAATTAATATTGTGATTCCGAGGACATGCCGTTGCCCTCACGGATATATGTTTTGAGTCATTATCTCGTTTATAAATGAAAGAGCTGTCAATGCGATAATACTCAACAGATTGCAACGATAGCATCTAAGTGTAAATTACACTATCCATATTATTAGGTACAGAACACAGTTTTCCGGCTAAAATAGCATTAACACCGAAGATAATGACGACACCCGTACCAAATTTCAATATTATTTGTAGTTCTAGATCAATTTTTAACTTTATCTATATGGTCTACACTGATTTCGCTTATCTGAATAAATCCTATTATGTTTGGTGTTATCTGACGATACACTTTTGTTCCAAACTTCGAAAGTGCAGTCTTTGTAGAGTTTCGTAAGACCGAGAAAATTCGGTTTATGTCATCGGATAAGTTTAGACTTTTTAATCTTAACTGTAGCTTTCAAGGCCTCTGTGTGTAATTGTAGTATTCATATGTACTCTTATGTCATGTTTGAATTTTCTCTTCATCTGTAATGACAAGTCGCAATGTGCATTGTTATCAACCGTACACAGTAACTTTCTATTTGGTACTCAATACCTTCTTAAATTTTGCTAATATGGTAGGTCACTGTTTTTTTAAGAACATCTTCTGATTCTGATTTCTCAATAGATAATCTTTTCTTTAATTATCGAAGATAAATGACTGGGAGTATTCATTATCTTACGACATAGTATTTAACAATGCCATCGTCTCCGATACGTTTAATATTTGTCTCCGTACAATATTTTTTTTTAATGTAAACAAACAGGTTTTATTCACTTTTTTAAATAAAATGTTCTTATTTTGGCATTCTGAACTCGAAAGTTTATTGTTGAAGCTTAATTTATCGATTTTTTTCTCTAAGTTTTATCGTTTAAGACTGAAATGATGAGTGAGGACAAGCTAAAAACCTTTTACTTTAGTTTATCATCTGCAGTCTTAGTAATTTGAAAAACTCTGAATTAAGTTTGCGTTTATCAGAAGTAGAGTGACGGGAGGAACTTTGACCATTACAGTAATTTCGATCAGCCCATATCTAAAAACTTGGCAGCTCATATAACACGTGTTCTTTTTTGCTTGTGTTTTGTTCTTTTGCGGGATGGTTGTGTCATCGGTTTTATGGTGATCTGTATTTAGATGTGATCTTTTAACCCTCGGAAAAGTTGTTTAAACTCTTGTCGCCCTGTTCTCACTAAGAGGGCCCTTTTTTTTAGCATGACTGTTATGGATTCCGCCAGACCCACAATGGGGCGGCCGAGTGGTGAAGGTCGGAGACCGAGATATCCGAACTGACAACCGGGTTGGAATCCGGATAGGGGGACCGGATTTAAACTCGCGTAACCCAGAGCAGTAGGCGGCCAGTTCGACCACTTCGCCATCTGGCTGTCAAACTTGAAAATAATTACAACATAATAAAAGAATTGTTAGACTGGTGTACAAATATTTTATGTTTGGTAAACTTTTACTATAAGAAAAGTATATAATTTTTTTAAGCTAAGGTACAAACTTATTCGTATAATGCTGTAATTTAGATTTTGACAATTTAAAGTAATTCTTTTCACTGAAACTAATTTAAAGCTTAAATTTTGTTAATAAAAATTACAGTTCTGTTGGCAGAATTTTCAAATTATTATTTTGAGCAAAGAATTCTGATGATGTACGTTGCTTGTATATTTTTGTCGTGACTTATTATATTAAATTGTGACGGCTGTTAAATTAACACACCATACACTAATAAACCAAATTTCCATTTCCTCTTTTGAATAGAACAGTAAAAATCTACGAACGAGCTGCATAACTTTCCCGGCTAATATAAGATTTTATTTCAAAATGACTTTTATATTATTAATAATAATAAATAAAATTGTGTTTGGCATCCTATCTGTTACGAGATTTCGATATAAAAATAGCATTGATATTATTTATTTTTACTTAAAATACAAAAAGCTTAATTTTGACAGTAGTGATGAGACAGTTCTCTTTAAATTTTTAAACATTTATTTTCAATTCACAGAAAGTATTATAATCAAAACTAAAAATCTTTTTATGTATTCCGTTTATTAAGAATTTCCCGTTTAAATTTGTAGATTACCGTTTTACTTTGTTGGACCGGATGCATTGTCTTAATGACATTATCAATTTTTGGAGCGCATGGTTATAAGAAAAATATTATGGCCAACGAAAATATAATCATCGCCTTTCAGTGCATTGCTCCATTTGCTTGGACCGTAGGATTAGCTTGGTTGACAGTGGCTTGTGTCACAGGTCACGGAGGTAAGGCAGTTCTCATTATCCAGTGTTTACAATCGATTTTTTTCCATTTAAATATAGTTATCAATAAATACATTTACGGCGTTTTATCTATTTTATTCTGTGTTTAATTTACTATAACTGGTAAAAAGCTAAATTTTTAATTTTATTAATTACGTTTGTTAACTTAGTTTTAAACCTTTAGCTGAAGTAAAATACAATTTGCTAAATGATACATCGCTTATCTACTATTTAAAGAAATAAATACAGTAACTGAATTAATTAAAGTTATTTAGATAATTATTACTTTCATACCGTAAAGTACTGTATATTTATATTGAATCCAATCTATATTATATTATCTAAACAAGTTCATTTACTTTACCGATACAGTTTTCTCGAATATTAAATTAATAGCCTGGAAGTTGTACTTAGTTCAGTTTAATTTTCAAACTGTTCTGACTAAAGTAATCCGATTTTCCTTATTTTCAGAAATTATCCGTATTCGTTTAAACGTTTTTATTTATTTGTCACTCGAAAAAGATTAAATAATCACTTTACCGTAAACTGTTTTTTGTGTACATTTACTTCTTTTTTTTTATTAAAGTCCAACCGTCACGTTATAAAAATTTAATTTTTTTTTTATTTTCAGGAACCGTCAATCGCTTGTTATCTCTTCGTATTTTTGTGGTGTTAAACAGTCTGTATGTTTGGATATATCTGCTTCACGCTCTAATTACATTTTATGTTTTTTGCAGTATGAGAAAGGCTACAGGTGTTTTACAGTTTAATTTGGTAAAGTTGAAAATTTTCATGTTACGGAATAGACTTTCTAATCTGATCTTTAATAATTCGCCAATTGAACTATGCGCTTTCATTTATGTGATAATTTAAGTCATTCTTAAGTCTGGGACATATAGGCATAAAAATTTGTATAAGGGTGAAAAATAGGTACACACAGGCAAACAATATGTACAGTACACAAAAATTAAAAACAGACAAATCAGTACACGCTAATACTGAACGTAGCAATTATTTGTTATTTCCATATTTATTCATAGAATTTTCGGCATATTGCATAATTTTAAAAGTAACTTAGAAAAGAAACAGATAAAAAAATCTTCTTATATTTTATTACATGTATTTCGAAATCGTTTTTGCGACAGACTACAGGTAATTTTTTCAAATTAGTGTGATGCTGTTTTTCAACAAGAAGTTCAGCATTCGCAATCGTTGTAGTCACACTTACTAGAAATTACAAAAGATCAAAAGTGTGCTGTGCACGTGTTTGAAAGGGCTTTTTATATCTTTTTACGAGTCTTCTGGTGGTGATGATTAGTTAGTTCACTTTCGGCCGCAACATTACTTCGTAGAAATGATAACTTGTCTTTTCATTGCTGTTTAAACGAGAGAAACTAACTGTGACATTGCCCGATGTGATTGCTGCATGCTTGATTGCACTGATTCTATTAATGAATATTTATATTCAGCTGTAATTGTGCGAGTTCATCATAAAATTTCTGTAATTTTACTTACTGTTACCCAGTCTAAATTATTTTTCGTAATTTGCTGCAATTGTGCTAGAATCTGGGGAAAGACTGTTCTTATTGTCATACAGAATATATCAACAGTTTTCACCAGCAGCAGATTTTTGCTTTCCAGTTCAGTTTTCTGTCCCCGGTGGTCCCACCGCCACCCGTTGCTGTATCTGAATGAGCGTACAAGCAAGTCCCACCGACTTAAGTGCAATACAACCTTCTACTAGACATTATGAACCATTATCATAAATGTCAATATGTAGATTAGTACTAATTCACTAATATATAGCATACTAATTCACTAATATACGAGTAGTTAAAAATCTATATACAGTGAAACTGATAAAGATCTGATGGATTAACGCTCCTAACAACAGCTAAAACATTTCTGGGAGGCATCCTAACAAGAACAATAAAACCAATTTCAACTGCAAAAAATTACTCTAAATTGTGAAAACTCTCCGAGCTCGAGCTCGAATAAAAATAAAGAAGACGAATGATTCTATGACGCAGATCCCTGTACTATTATTGTGAAATAATAATCAGAACAATTCTTATTGTTTTTGAAAATTTTAATATCTTAAGACACTAAAATGTCTTAAGATTTTTAGGCTTTATCACAGATATATGGAGAGTGTCAATGGCTGAATTCAACGAAGGTCGAGAAAAACGAAATCCTACTCGGATATAATATACAGTAATACCTCGATTTTCGTTTACTTCGGTTATCGTCGATTCCGGATTTTGCCGATTGTTTTCGGACGATTATCGACGAAAACCGAAGTATCACTGTACAGTGTACACCCATGTACCTAGCATCAAATTGCATTAATTCTTTAGCTTCTGTTGACCTATCCTAAAACTCTCCAGTTATAGGCAGAAACAAAATGGTTATAGGCTAAAACGTTTCCACCGAAACTTGTGGAGCGATGAGAAATGGCATCAGGATAATTTTACCTAGATTTTCCTAATTATAAGACTACCCGAAACATTACTCTAAAAGCTTGAAATTAGTCTAGAAAAGGGTAATTACTCTAGAATCGGCAGCACTGGTCAAAAATAAACACAATACAAACTTTACAAGTGTTTGCAATGCGCCCGTTGACAACTTACAAGCTATCCTTCGTATCGTGGTTGCATCAGCTGCTGTTCAGAAGGCGTTATGGATTTTCTTAATCACCAAAACGCGTAGTGGTCAAATCTCATAAAAGCCACGACGCGAATTTCGCTTTGTGGCCGCTTTGAAACGACCACAACGCATTATGTATGTTTTTTCGCTCAATGAGCGATTTCGGTCTTTGAGCCTAACATATATAATCATAAAATACTTGTAAACCTAGATAAAACCTATACGTATATATAACCATACAAAACAACCATTATACACATGTTTATAAACGTATAGGGGAGATCGGGGCAACTTCGGCAAGCGGGGCAAGTTTGTCAAGCGCTTTTTTTAAAAAACAAATTAAAAGGAGACTTTAGTTATAGGTTAGGCAGTTGAGTTTTATTGGTGGCTTGTTGAGTGTAGTGTTTTTATTGTTCTCCAACAAGCGTAGTTGAATTATCAAGCAAATTTTCATTTTCGTTCAATTCCATATAATATTTTTTTTCCATTTATATTGAATTGGCAGGTTTTGTTATAATTCCATGATAACGAAAGTTACTTTTCCTGTTAGAAGGATGTAACTTCAACTTATTCACGTGGCCAGATCGTGGCTTGGCATTCTGTTCTCAGGGTTGTACTTAATGTTTCGAAATCATGACTAGCGGGGTAAGATCGGCAACATAAAGCCACATTAGAAGCAAAGGATAAAAATCAAACAGATGATAAATGAAAACATGTTTGCATTTGTTATTCATGTATATATGTCTTTGAACTTGCATTTCGTTGTAATAATATTAAATGGGTGTTGGATTTGTATTTCTTTGTTTTAATAGTGAATTCCAACTTATACATTGTTAATAACATAATTTTATATACGTGCCTATCTTGCCCCATTACTGTTGCCCCTATACCAGGGGCAACTTTAATAAAAATAATTAAAATAATTACAACTTTACAAAAAGAGAGAAGTTGCCGATCTTGCCCCTATACCCGGGGCAACTTCGTCAATTTCTCTCTTCTTGTAAAGTTGTAATTATTTTAATTATTTTTATTTCCAAACTGATTTTAACCAGTTCTATAGTAAGGTAACATTCCAATAGACAATATGCAAAGCTTTTTTTTCAGTTTACAGCAGTATTTATTACACAAAATTTAAGTAAAGCTTAACATGCCGATCTTGCCCCGATCTCCCCTATATATATATAACCTATATGAAACCTTGTATAACTATACGTACATAACTATAACAATACTCTATGTCTCCATATATATAAACCTCACAATACCATACAACAAAGTATTGTAGAAGCCTCATAAAATTTATGTCAAAGTTAACAAAGTTAATTAAACGTTGGGACCTTATCTCAAACTATGTACTGTACAGTACAATACATCAGTACAATACATCATAAAACAATATAAATCTATGCACCGTATAATCATAAAATAAATATAAATAAAAACCTGAGTTATACACCATTCTTTTAAACTATCCTACGTATTAACACCCCCTTTAACACATTGTATTACATACTTGGTAATACCATAATTATGTACCATTATTGTTGTTTGGTATTGAGCCATATCACCTTCCTGCTCATCCCATTGGGAAACAGAGTACTTTGCTACTGAGGTTTAATTTAGTAATTCTGTATTATTATATTTCATGTTTATCACATTACCAAGACCTAAATATACTTGAGGTTTTTTTGTTAGAATTTTGAAATGCATACCCAATAGTTCACCTATAATTTCGGTATACACATACCTTTGCCAACTCTCGACACTAACTACTTTTTATCCTACTCTCATATATCTTTTTATAGTTAAGCTCGCAATCCTTTGGTACTCACACCTAGTATTATCCAAGCACACTTTAGAATCCCTTCTCTTCTTATACATTTGCTGGTTTTGGCTTTCTATCTTATCACAACACAACTTAGGAGCTATTTGTCTTATTTCTTTTTCTAAGAATTGCACTTACCGTAGCATTCCGGATACTACACCGTATATGGGTGCAGTACTGGATAGAACTGTACTCTCTTCCAATACATCAAAGATTTTTAAAGATAAATTTTGAACTAGATTATTCCTAAATCTGCGCCAATTTTCACTATTAAAAAATCAAAAGTAAATGTACGCTTGAAAAATCAAGTATGCTACCACCTCATACTTATACATAATCAGTTTATGCTCACTAGTGGTTTGATTAATTAACAAACTTGCAATTGTTTATGACTACATCATGCGCAGTTAGTCAAATCAATATAAGAGCAACCTCTACTAGATACAAAGGTTAAACCTGCCTCTGAAACATTTATGACCACCAAAATTCACTTAGCTATGGTTTTTAAAACCCGACCGAGAAACCTCTTTTGTCGGTAGTCTCACACCAGTGAATAGCTTTAGCATTAGTATCCATTTTTATAATAACGCTCTTGCCATGCAGCTTCCACAGAAAACACGACAGTTTGCTCAGCCGTTATAAATATCAACAAAAAGTGGAAACTATAAACTAGTTACATACACAATATAATTGAATTGTTTTATGTTAGATTTTAATGCAAAAACGTCTCTGTAATCGAAAAAATTATGGTAGACCGCAATTTTCGGTTAGA